TTAATACTACTATTAATAAGTAGTTTTCTAGACAAAACATTTTGGATTAAACCATGGTCAAGTACTTATTAAAGTTCTCATCATTTTTTTTCATGTTTAGGAAACTTACGTAATGACTTAACCAGTTTCCCTGCAGCAGGCTTTTTAGTGTGATCATATAACCCATCTTTATTGGCAATATTCAGATTTTTTTTAATTTCTGACATTTAAGAATCAATAACCGTGAAGATATAGTACAGTGCGTTACTGTAAGGTTACTATGTCAGCCGCATTGATTCCACATACCTAATTTTAAACACAACTTATAAGGGAACTGTTTAGTAATCATAACATTGAACTGACAATATGAATATCACGACTATGCTAACGTTAAACCAATTATTATTAGTGGCCCATACAAAGTCCTGGGACTTAACATCAACGTTATAAAAAAGACATTTTATGTCAATAACTAATATATATATATATATATATATATATATTCGTTGGTTTAAATATAACGTAAAATGGAAATTTACTAAACTTGTAGTTTTTTTCTATAGTAATAATATTCATGTAAACAAAGAACTTATACTTTTCCAATATGACACTTTGATATATCAATCTGTCCTCTTGTCATTTTTTCTCTCATATGTGCGCGACTTACGGGCAACAAACATCGTATTGAAGGTGGGTCTGGTGAACAAAAACGCAGGCCCCACACGAACTCGAACCTCTGCCCTCCTGAATGCTAGACCGCGTGCTTAGCCGTTAAGCCACATCAGACCACGGAGGAAGTGACTTCAATATTTCCTTACACCAATTAATCACTCATAATACTAATGAGTAATAGGACTTACACACTTCTGAGGTGCAAACCAATTCGTTACTTGGATGAATTGACGATATATTGCTTCAATATATCATGCATACCTAAATCAAACAAGAAAAGGGTATTTTACACAACTGTACTTGATCCGCATACTCTACACAATTTTTTTGCTTCTTAACCGTATATTCTTTTCCGTTTTGTGGAGTATTCTGATGCATCCTTGGTTACGCACCTGGTTGTGAAACGCGGTCATCACAGGCTCAAGGTCACGCGTTTGATCGATTTTCTTAAAGAGTCCAACTTCTAGCAAGTTCACCCTTTTACATATATGCATTACAAAAGAGTATTTTTTTGTTTTCATGGTTTTTCGTGCACAAGATATCTACACTATGTCTATTCTCTTCCAGAATACCAATCCGTTCTGGAGACCAAGCACTTACATGGAACCGAACAATTATCAATTACATTTATGTATTTCCATCTTGTATCTTATTATTTTATGCAGGCAGTGGAGCAGTTCTTCAGGTTTGCTTGATTTTCACCATTACCTTTGAAGTAGATTCTTCTTTACTTTTTACTTGAGGGCGACTCAAGAGGCAGGTGAGTAAACACCTGATAGCCGGTCTGAGCACGGAAAAATCGTACCTCACCAACATGGTGTTGGGTAGCCCGCTCGCGGCACTTCCTCAGATATTCTTATTCCACATTCTCACACTTTCTCTTGAAAGCACGCAGCAAACCGTCGGCGATAGTTGTCGAAGAAATCACATGCTACAAAATAAGATGACAAGCTAGTAAAGAAGAGACATCCATGGACTATCGTTGACAGCGACAGTCGTCACTGATTGTAAGTCAAACAGTGAGCGAGTTGATAATTTTCCCTTGGGATGAGAAATAGAACTAAGGTGTTTTCGATAGTTAGGTTAATCGAACCGACGTTCCTACGGAAGTCGATTCTAGGGGGAAGCTAATGTAACAGCTTAGGTTGGTTGGTTAAGAGTTGACCCCAAACAACCAAGCATATGCCAAAACAGTATTGTTCAAGTATTCATTCACTTCCTTGTTTTGTATAAGCGTTATATTCCCTATTATCTTATATTGAATGTTGAGAGCCTTTGTTTGTCTGAACAGATAATCCCACGCTCCACTGTTACCGCGCTGAGATCGAAATAAAGACCTATTCACTACTTCTCTGGTTTCTTCTATCAATAGCACGAGGGTTACTTTAAGGCACGAAAACTCCTTAAGAGAAGCGTCTATTCATCCAAGCCTTGGTGGCATTCTTTTACCAGACCTAACCATATGAAAATATGTAATATTTTTGGTTCTTAACCGCAGAGTCTTTGAAGCTGAGCGTAAAATGACTGATATTTATATTTAACATGTAACACTAAGGGTAGATAAATAGTGGTGGAGGCAACAATAAGGGATCTAAATGGTATGGCTTGGTCGTGCAGGCGCCTCCACTCTATATAATCTCTTACTATTTGAGTCAAATATATTACTCTTTTCCAAGCCCTACTGTGTTCTTCTGAAGAGCCAGACTTCAGATTAATGATCGCAACGTAGAATAATTCAGAATAGGCAGTCATTTGACTTCCACGCTAGATATTATATATTAAGTTTCAGCATAATGACAAATCTACAGTTTCATGATTAAGTCTATTATTATAGCAATACTAATGTTGTGAAAGAGAACACAAATGGGGAAAATCGAATGTATTTCAGTGCAAAATTACAGATCATCTTTGTAAAATCTGAGAATCATACAGTTAATACTTATTTTGCATAATGTCAATCAATTGCTTCAAACCTGACTGTTCCCTCTGCAAATGTCAGTCAATCGTCTTAGATTTCACTGTCCCTTAATTTCCACAGCAACCATTCATTGTTCTCGTTCTCTTTTCTTCGATCTTCTACCAGATCTTTCACTTCCGACTGATGTTACATAGTCCTTATATCTGTCGACATCACTAGCATACACCACATTAATAACAATCTATAACATAATACTACACTGTTAAACCCAACGTGTCATATAGTTGTCAGGGCATTTTGGCATACTAAAACCGAACTAGACCATAATCCTAGAAACCCACTAATCGGAGATTCACTTCACCATGTAGCGATATTCGAGTCAACTGTAGAGCAAAATAAACACCCCAAATCAATAGCTCTGTACGTCTTTAACGTTTGATGCTGTCCACATTAGATTTAATGGACTCACCTAGCGGAAGGCGCTCGATAATGCATTCTCACCAGATCACGAGTGGGAACCTCGTGCTCAACATCCCCTGCGATCGCTAGCTAGTCTAGATCAGTCAATTATCTATATATTAATAACCTATCAAATATACCTTCGAACCACCTTGCTTCTAACATTCGATTTCACTTGGTGGGTACGATTCATATTAGAGGGTGTCACTGGTTAAAGCGTTGTCAAACTCCAAATACCTGTGGCATCTTCAACTATTTTGCAGACTCGTGTCTAGTCCGGCTAGTGCCGTTTTCATTTTTATTCTGTTTTCTAGATACAGGTCACGTCCCACTACAATATACGTGTTTTTGTGACTTTGACAATAGTTGACTAAAGATTTCGTTGTTGCCATGACACCTGGAGTACCCAAAGGCGTCTACATGATCGCTGCCCAACATTTTTATCAGTTTATCTTACCTATTCTTACTTAAAATAATATTCTATGAGATAAAGCTTTTCTCAGCACCGTTGGGGTTTAGTCTACCCTTACTTTGAGAAATTAGCGATGTATTCGGTGATTCAGAATCCGAGTCTAGAAAGAAATTTAAACAAGTCGTGTGTTATTTGCGACCCTTTTCCTATTCTACGCTTTTGTCTACTTCACATCATCCAGAACAACCGAATTGCGATTATTCTTAGCGGTGTATAATGGAAGAAAATTGTTGACGATGGAAAGTAAACTGACACAACAAATAAGTGATAAATTAAGTACAAGCAAATACAGAGAGTTGACTAAGGTAGAAAAGGATAGGGAGCTTGATGATAAAAATAGAATGTGCAGCAATAACAGTAATTACATATCAATCGAGGGACATGCTTTGTGTTTGACTAAACTCAATGTCACGGCGTTTTTAGTAAGACTATTAACCGTTGACTGTCAACTTGGAAAGATTGCTGGGATCCCTGCAGATAGATATCTGATCCCATCATGTTAAGAATATATTTATTCATTCTCAGGTTTTGAAACCTTGTGTATTAACTATTTCTTTTGTTGTTTATCACGCTGATTTGTGATAAAGAAACCCGTGGCTGTATCGCACAGACTGCACCGTTTGTACGCTATACAGAAGAACGTAGTTTGGTCTAATCGAATAAATCTTGGCCCATTAGTTTTGTGTTCAAACCGAATATTGACATTTCTGTCGTTACCCGCGTCAGCTGGAAGTAATTGCGTGAACGTTCTTTCCTATTGCTAGGTATAATTAGTGGCTATTTCGATCAAGAGACAAACATTGAGTGCAAACATGGCAGTCTACTTGGTTTTTGAAACCATCAACCGAGAGTGCTGTACTCACCTCGTCCTGAAAAGCATCTCAGCCAAGATCGACAAATCGTCTAAAATGTATGCGAACTTATTTCGGTTTCTCTTGCCTGTGTGCTGTTTGTTGCATTTTTCCTGTTCCACGCCGTTGTCCACTTTACGATATTCGGGACAGTCACATTCAGACTTCTCATGGAGATGACAGTTTTAACTAGGTCTTTAGGTACTATTTTAGAATCATGACCACTAATATCTAGTGACACTATATTATATTTACAATGGATATCTATATACGTCTGACAGCTTGCTCTGTTTCTGTTACATTTCTTGTTATAGATATATAAATTTTAAAAAAGACACAATACCAATCATAGTACACTATTGGCCTTACCACAAGGTGATGTTCGAAACCTAGTAATCCAAAAATTTGAATGTTTGGACAACTACGAGCTTGATTTTGAACTTAATGACCCTGGTCTCCCACGTGACTGAAGTTTAAGAAATTTCTAAAATCAAAAATGTGGGACTTCATTTTTACGCCATCAACAATTCTATACCTGAGCTGTTACGAATTTATTGCAGAAATCGTAGATATGTTGTGGGATTTAAACGCGTCTAGACTCACCACAGGGAGAAATATTTTGACTGTCCACATTTTTAAGAACAGCGAGCAATTTAATCAGGTTTATAGGGAAAAATTAACAAAGCTACACAAGATAATCACTAATGTTAAGATAAACTAAAAACCATTGTCACAAAACATATTTGAAGTGGATTCCAAGCTCTAACAGAAATAATTCAAGTTAAAGTAGAGCAAGTGTACTTTCAATGCAATAAACACACAAAAGCAAGATTAATTCAAGTGTAAATACACAGTCTTTTCTTCAGATCGCGTGTGAGCAAAAAGGCTTAGATACAGTACTACGCTGAAGGGTGCCGACCATTGTGAGTATATGATGCTAAAAATAAGTATAATATCAAAATACGGAAGATGAGGGTGTTCGTTGTGGAAGAACCTGAAGATGAAACTCACCAATCGGCAAGACTATAATTTATTGTCAAGCCAATCAGGCATAATATAACACTCAACCATTTAGCTAGGTAGAGTCTTAACATAATAGTTGATGTCAGTTCGTGATGAGAACCTTAAATCTAATTCCTAACATTAGCTATCAACTGTTAATCATAATTCGAATTCCTCACACTAATTTATAGCCCTCTTTTGGTCTAAGTTATCAGGTGTACACTCCTAAAGTCAGTCTGCCGTCGCTCAAAGGTCGTCCATAAATTATAGACTATAGTTTATGGACGACCTTTGAGTGTCCACCTAATAACTAGGATCAAATGAGGGCTATAAACCTGTGTGAGGAATTAGAATTGTGACTTACGGTTGGCGGTTAAAATCAGGAATTAGACTTAAGGTTTTCATCACGAACTGACATCAGCTATGATGCCAAAACTCTATTTAACCAAATGGATGAGTGGATTTCGTGCCAAAACCCGAAACCTGTTATCTTATACCTGACTGGTTCGTCTCTAACTTATAGTCTCGCCTAATAATTCTTCTGTGACAGCAGTTGTGGCTCATTACTGTTCAAAATAAAATTGTATTCTGCATGCATATTCATCTCGGTTTTAGCAAATAGGTGTTTATGTATGGTATTCTAAAACTGAAAAAGAAAAGACAATTAGCCATCCAAGACAAGTACTTTGATAGGATGTCGTATGTTTCGTCGTACTATAATTACAATTTCCATTTATCTGTTCCATATAAAAATCTAGTCACCAGTCTTGCATCATTTGCAGTTTTCTTTAGCTTTTCGACGTTTGGTTGAACCGACGATAAGATCACATGGTGACACGTGTCCCTGATACTAGAAAATCACTGTTCTATAACAAATGCACCCACTTAACCCCAAAATACGACTATGAAGATACATGTCAAATCCACTGATCATTGCAACCAAGTGAGTAGAATAACTTCACTAGACAGCCCTTGAGATCTGGGGCCATTTTTCAAAGTGAAGGAGCGAAGTTACAGAAACCAGTTAGTTCACGATATTGAACAACAGACACTATTGGATGCCTAACCTAGCACAGATTTTAGGAATGATAGAAAAATATAGAGAGTGAACCAATATAGATAGCTTACTAAATAGGAATTCAATAAACTCTACCAAAACGAAAAGTTAATAAATCCGTATTCGAAAGTAAATAATGTGTATTAAAAAAAACAGAATAAACATAATAGATAAATTAATGAAAATTAGGAAAGTAAATGCATCTCACGGTATTATTGTGAATTATATTAAAATTCTGAGCATATAGAGAATCCACACAAAAAAATGGGATAGAACTGAACAGACAACCGATGATAACGAATATTATAGATTGAACTTATTGGTCCATGACCTAAAATGTATAGAAAAATAAAATACCAAATTTTTATGTTAAAATGTGAGGTAAATAAGAAGTGACCGTCGTAGAATAACAGTTATTATAAAATACATAAAGTAATATTCATTTGTAAAATGAACTAATCCAGTAACACCAATTAGTGTATTCTGCAAGAATGATAGCTGTTATCAGGGTCTTTATTTTCCCTTTAACCTTACTGAAGCTTTCTTATTCAGCTAGCGAAAAAGCTGGATGAGGATGGAAAAAAGCACATTTCCATCAATATGGTAGTTACAATTTCAAACATATATACATTCATATATACTAATTGATGTGTTTTTTCTCTCAGATTTTCGCTTTCCCCATGAGCATATTCTAAACAGATATCGAAGTTGTATAACCTATCTCGACATCGAAATGTAATACTGAGAATGCAGTTTTGTGCGATTAAGGATTTCTACAAGAATAGCATCAATAAAGTATACTAGGAAATCAATTGACTTCCTAAGTACAATTTCAAAATTCACACATCACTATCAGACAGATGAACATAATAAAAATCAAGAATTGTAAAAATCCTAAACACTGAAAACTGTTGTTATTTAAGTGAGAACAAATAAATTTTGTTCAACAACAGAATACACAATCTATTTTATACTAAACATCCATCCGTTATTTTCTGTAATTAAAACCCTATTCAGAGTTTACAAAACCTGGTATTATGTCATTTTTAGTTTTGTGTAAAAAGTATCTAATACTACAAAGACAGGAATATTTAGAGCAGAATCCTCAGGTTTATGAACAACAACTCAAAACTTATTTAGTATTGGTTTAACTGTATGTGATTGTCATAAACTGCCCAAAAGAATGAATACATGAAGTCTTCGAAATATATTCTTTCATTCTGATTTTTCATAAAATTTAAGAGCTAAACATCCATTGATTCTGAGGTTGATCTGCTTGGTTTTATGCATTTTTCATTGAACAATGAATTTACTGTTCTTTTTGTAACTATAAAGACGTTGGAAACATCAATTAATTCTGTATTATGTTATGACGTATCAGTCAGTCAGTCAGTAACAACGTAGAATTTCGTACGTACGTACATCAGTTCGAGTTGCCACACCACATTAGCACAGAGATGCAGTTGTCGATTCAAATCCCGTAGTGGTAGAGGTAGTAAGAGTATAAGCAGTAATCGGGAAGATTAGGGTTTGGAGATGTTATTTAAAGAGTATAATTCAGTGAAATAAATTTGGAAAGAGGAAAAAAGAAAGGGACATGAAGAATTCAGAAGATTAGAATTTGGGAGAACACAAAGAGTGGATGCACCTGCGCCATTACAAACGATTTTGAGCCATGTCATTCAGGGTCTCTAACCATCGGTTGCTATCATCTCGTGGTCCCCAACCACGTAGTCTACACCTAGTTATGACGTATATACATATGTTTATAAAAATCTTAAACAGCCAACATTCCAGAGCACTTATGGGGTTTTAAAACTTGAGAAAAGAAAACGATATAAACGTTTAGAAGTAGCAACTATTGGAATTTCACTAGCACATAAGTGACGTTCTCCAATGAAAACCAGTACTTATAGTCTTGATAGTCAGTGCTTTATCTCCGAAGCTATTGTTTCACATCGTAAACTTGCTGCTAATCTTAATATTATGCAATTGACCGAAATATCTTGGAGCACGTGTGATAACAAATATTGACTCATCAGAGTGTGAAATCAAAAACCACTTGGATGCTATGAATGCAATAATTGGCGGACAGGTGTTTTGATTTTCTGTAGTGCCTAAATTGACAAATGAACAACTAAACCGTCCGATTATTGAGAAAGTACAATCCAAATTCCATATAATAGATTCGCAGTTTTTTGATTCACTAAGATTACGCAACCAATATACGGTTTGTAGGTTCAAAGATTAAAACGGTATTCATAAAGGATAAAAACGTTTAGAATTACCTTAAGTTTACTTGTTTGAAAGGATGCAGCTGAAGATATTAAAGTTGTGGAGGACGACTCATTTTCCTCGACGCAAATTTTGTATCCATCAAACAAAAAGCAATTATCAGGTACACCCATTTTTAAAGGTGAAGAAATGGGTGATTTTGAAGAATATACAGCCGGAGATGGTTGAATAGATGCAAGCTTTTTAGCCACGCATAAACTAGTTGACCTTGTGACTGGTGAACATTTTACAGATTGACGATTTGCAACGTTGTTGATTATACGGTGTAAGTTAGCAGATTCGTAACTTTTGCGCTGAGTTGATATGTTGGGGTTTTTTGGACATTTTTTATTATTATGATCGGAGTTAGATGTCCCTAGATTACTTTGTAACGTACGTGGCACAGGTAAACTCTGCATATTGTATGGACTGGCGAACCATTCTGTATTAGGATCTCCAGTCGCTGAGCAGTCTTTTGTTCGACAGAAAGTAACAAACTAAAGATTGTTAGTGTAGTATGATGAAGTTTACAAACTGAAAAAATACTTTGAGTATTATACAAATATAGTTACACAGAAATGACACTTACATACCGATTACTAGTATTCCGTCTATAAAACCGATACTGTGGACCGTTCATGATTAGCATATTTCCATTCAACAAGCACTCAAAACGAAAATTAACGTACTTCTGAGACAAAAGGATTACTGATAATCAAGAGTATGAGAAAGCGAAAAATTAACTGAAGTCTAATTTAGGTCATCACCTACAAATTCCTGTAGTGTTATTATCCTTTTATAAAATGGAACTTCGAAAGCAATCGAAACTGACTAGTGACAAAAAATGCTAAGGAGTCAGCCAGGAGAATATATATATATATATATATATATATATATATATAAACGAGGAAAAGTGGCGTAAATCGACGATTAGAGGTCGATCATATGCAGTTGACTGAATTTCCACAAGCAGAAAATGTTGTACCCATCACTTTAAAATGTTTATAATCTTTGGTAGACAGCATCAAAAGGCATAACGACTTAACAAGTTACTGGTACCAAACATTTTAGTTTACTAGATGTGAACATTGAATGTCGATAATAGAACAGGCCGAATAGCCTTGTTTGTCAATGTAGTAAAATGGTGCAACTAAGTTACTGAAGAGATCTTTCTACGATAAACTTTAAATAAACCACATTATCTACTCACTCAACCAAGGTGGATATGAAGCGGTTGAGGTACCTAGACCGAAGTATGTGTAGCTTTCGATCCTTTAACTTACAAGGTGCTTGTAGAGTGTTTATGTCGTTGAGTCAGAGAGATGCAGGATAGAATTAGCTAAAACAATGAGCTACATAAAAGATGTTTTTATTATGAGAATATGTATTTAATAAGTGCTGAAAGTTGATATGAAGGGTAACAATCGCTCTCGACTAGCGAAATTCAGACAGGTGAGCCAATTATCACTTGTGATAATTATTCTAGGCATATCGAAGGCAGGTAAAATATTAAGAACGTACAGACCGCCTGGCGGTCAAAAAGTTACATGTGGTTTTACAATTATAATTTAAACATATGAAGAGTCATTGACTTATGATTTAGTTCTTGTAAAAAAATTCCTCGGTTTACACGTGAGCGAAAATTTCAGATCTCATTATTGGTAAATCCAATGTCAAGTTTTAAAAAATAAGAACAAAGGATATGTGTTGTCTTTCATCAAACAAATCTCCTTACCGTGAAAGCATACAAAGTTAATGAAATCATGCACTGAAGCAAGTCGACCAATATCATCTTGCCAAGGTTCATATGGTGATTTTGAAAGCAACTGGAAATCACTCTCACAATAAAGGTTTGAAAAACATTTAGGTGTGTTATCATCAGGTTCTGTCAAAAAAATCAATAGAAAGTGCATATTTTGAATGATTAAACCACAAAATTAACGGATATACAGGTATTACGAGAACATAGGTGGTTCAGTTAGGTTGCATAGTATCTTACAAAGTAAACTGCGACTTATCATCAGTGTTGTACTATCCGATCAACAGGAATAATGCCTAAACATTAACCTAATTTAGAAGTATACTTGGTTTTCTTAATAAAGTTAGCACTGATAATGTCATTTGAAAGAGTGATGAGATGTTCATTAATCACATCAAGACTTACAAAATAGCAAACGACTGTTATACATGCACATATTCATTTGAAAATATCACTATAAATGCTTAACTGATTTCCGATCAAGTAACCGTTCTGAAGACAGCTTTTGAAGGGTTGTAATATCCATTATAAGATTTGGATCTAGAAGTTGCAATCATTCTCAAGAAATTTGCAACTGTGAATAAGTATTTAAAAAATAAAATCATTTACTTGAATTCAAGATATTTATCACCATCACCAGAGCGAATCACCAGGACATAATGAAATCTTAGCCTGTTTACCGTCTTTCTAATGTATTCCACATCAACAAAATCAGTCTTAGCAACCAAAGAAAATAAAAATCCTTATAATTTAAGTAAGGAACTTCAAAATAAAGACTGACTAAGCACGAGTTAAGTGTCAAATTATAAAAGGAACATATTGTACATAAACGATCTGCAACGAAATAATATGTAGGAAAAAGGCAGTTACAACGTTATCATATACAGGTCATAATACAGCCAAAACTGAACCTCATTAAATGAGAAAACATACATCACTTGCAACAACCGACATCAGTGATATGACATTTGTCGTCGTAACTTTACAATCAACCTTCAAAACAATAAACTTCATAATAAAAGAACGTTAAGGAGCCGAAACGCTAGAATACAAAAACCACTACATACAAGCAGTAGTATGAATTCTGTCATCATAACTTGAAATGACGATCAGGATGAGAAAAGCACCAACAGAAACTGAAATTTATAAAATAACTTGAAACTTGATGACACGGAAAATCAGTATTCTAGAAGTATAAAAAAATAGTAGCTTTCATGTTAATTGCTCTGTCTCAGTCAAACTCTATTGAGAAAATGTACAGAATACTGAAACATGTGAAAAATAGATATTGAAATTCAAAATAAAATTAAGAACCATTTGCCAAAGTACATCACAAACCTTGATTTAAACATGGAGACATACGTTTTGTACACTATTTAGTTGGCAATAAATGATGAAACGAAAAGAAAAGGAGAAAGACGGAGAAGCTAAAAGTGAAGGTAATCTCACCTGTAATAGGTAATATTTGACTGACTGAACTAATCAGTTGTTTAGATCTTCTTTTAAAACTGTGTATCGATTTCTTCGGAGAGCTGCATGTAGCGAATGTATCAATGTTCTCTGATCGGAAAGAGCCATTTCTTAAAGTCGATGAATTAGGACTTTTTCTAATAACAGATTTCCTGCAAGATGTATTAAATAAACAACTTCGAAACAATTTACAGCCTAAAATCTTTCATTCAAGATTAATAAAAACAAAATTAAAGGATAAACTAAATGATAACGCTACCACCCATCGCGATAATAGAAGTGGAGCAATAACTTTTGCGAAAAAAAGTGGCCTTGACTACAGAGTAAGGGTTATTTGTTGTCTTAATATTAACAATACTATTTCACTAACAAAGAAGACTTCACGACCTAGTGGTTCGATCGCTGGATCCGTGAGGAATGACTGTAGCCAGGAGCAAGCTAGAGAAGTAATCACAACAGGACATTTAGCCACTAGCTAATAAAGTCATCCATTGTGAAAATTGACATGTGCTGTTAGATAATAATAACAGTAATAATAATAATTTTTATCCTGAAATCAAACCAGTCCATAAGATGAATGAACGAAAGATTAACAGGTATAGTCGAACTAAACTGAAGGGATCAAAAATTGCCACAGTATTTCCAATCACATCTCGACTTTTAAACAGTTAGCTACAATTCCTACAAAAGTTTTAACATACAATACAGTTTGCATTCGAGACATGTCATTGGTCCACCAGACAAATAAAAATAACTTTGGATCAATTGTAGTAACTTCTCTTAACTCTAAAACAGTCAGTAAGATTATCGGGACAAATGATAGTTACTAATATTATGAACATCTCAATTAGGCAATATTGATTTTTAATGGCTTAAATAATTTCAGTAACAAAATATAGGTAGCCTGCAATGATATTAAAAGGTAAAACACAATAGAACGCGGAATATCGTACATCAAAAGTTCAATACATTACAAGCATTTTAGAGGGGATTCAGCCCCTGGTACGGCCGAGAGTGGGGAGAATCCACTCTCCCTCTCGAAATGCTCTCACGTGGCCACGCGTATATAGCCTCTGCCAGGGAAGTCCTACTCATTGCCTTCTCGTGGCGGGGGTGTTGTTTACGAAAATGAGAGGACGAAAAGCGAATGTCCGGCGCTTTAACCGGATTCCAAACCAATGGTGCACATGGTCTCCAGCATCCTGCGGGAACAAATGGCGTATGAACCAATTGTTGGTCATCGGCTACCGTGGGACTGCATCTCCTTACGATGCTCCACTGCCTTGTGGACCAGGCCTTCAGGTCGAAGGCTCGGGGAGTGGCCCCCTAAGGAAACCACCTGCTTCGGTTTGGTTACCCGGGTAGTATCACAGCCCTCACACATATCAAATGAGATTTGTGTGGCGCATATGTATTTGGTGCCTCCTTGTACCAATATCTATGTGTTAAAATAATAATGATAATAATAATAATAATAATAGAGGGGATTCATAGCTTTTTTATTCTTTGATTATGAACATAACGTTAAAATGATGAATTTCCAGATCGTCATAACTTCCATTCACAATTATGCAGGAAAATATGTGGTCTTAGACTTTAATTAAGTGAACCATTACTGAACAAAAAACCTGAGTATATTCTAAGGGAGCAGGGAATACTGTCCGGGTGCCCAAACCGAATCAGGTGGTTTTCTTAGGGGGCAACTCCTCGAGCTTTGACGTAGAGGCTTAATCCATAAGGCAGTGGAACAACATTAGATGTAGTCCCATGGTAGCCAGTGACCAACAATAGGTTCGTACACCGTTTGTTCCCTTAGGATCCTTGAGCCCATGTGCACCATTGGTTTCGAATCAGGGTTTTCCAACTTCCTTGGGTGAATCCTCCATAATCATAGACCCGGTAAAAAAGACTGGAGATTCGCTTTCCGTTCTCTCAATTTCGTAAACAACACCCTCGTCGCGAAAATGCAATAATTAGGACCTTCCTGGCAGTAACTGTATACGCGTGGACATGTGAGAGCATTTTGAGGTGAGTTGACCCTCTCCCCCCTCAGCCGTACCAGGGAATTTGGGGAACCTGAAGAACCTCCAACTTAAAGTGAATATATTCAAACATGTAAAATGAGACCTATCAAAAAAGGAAACAAACGAAATTAAATGTATCAATTATACTTCTGGAACAAGCTAACTACACAATGATCAGTACACAGACAATGTAAGAAAAACTATTCTACTAATTTTATTACCGTTGAGTACTGTTCGTGTTAGTCGAATTTGATTTCAAGTAATTTGAAGCAGTCATCAAAGTAGGACGTCGACTATAGTTAGTTGAGACAGAATTTGATGATAAATTGTTGACTTCAAATGTTTCAGCAGAACTAGATAAGGTTTGCTTGTTAGCATCGTTATCAATCAACTGATTGTTGATATTAATATGATTAGTTGGATTTCTTCTATGGCATAAATTTCGTAAGCAAATGTGGCTAGTGTTTTGTGAAGTATTTACAACATATGGTTTGTGATTGTCATCAGTTGATTCAACCTGTAAGATGTTCGAAAAAAGGGAGACATCAAATGAATGATACCGACAGAAGTTTAATTGCATTTAAGATTTCATATAATTACGAAAAGTATGTGTGAACATTAGGATGAATCTAAGTTTAAGATACAGTAAATTTAAATTGTTCAACTGAAAAGCGTATCTGTTGAGGACAAATTTCCGAAATCATTAACAATAAAAACATTTTAAAACTTTTATTAACTATTTAATAAACGTTTAACCAAATTCACCGAACAGACGTAATAAGACGAGACAGAATTGAATGCTAAGTAAATTTACATTATCTGGGCAACCAAGAAGGTTTGTAACATAATGGTCACAAATTAGACATAACAGTTAAGTATTAATTGACTGGAGATAGAGTAACCCAAAAAAGTGATGCTTTCCAATGGCTTATAACATCTAACCACGTTTATATTCGTGTTAATATTTTTGAATATAAGCTGATTATTTTATTAGATAAAAAGCCGATTCTACTGAACAGCTGTCTTGTTTACTGATAACTCTTCAACTGAGGGTTTGCATCAATATTTCAGCCTCGTAAGCAGTTGTCGTTTAACCACATCATATAGCTGGATATAGCCAATCGATCAGGATTTCTTTCATTAATCTAACAAACCACAAACGAATGTCATTACAAACCATCTAATTTTAAGTTATAACACTATCAAAATCTCTTTTAGTACAAATTCTGCAACAAACATTACCCATCCTATAACAACTTTTACCTGTAAAGAGACTTCAGTTTTAGTAAATCATATTAAATTCAACTACTAAGATGCCTGAGTTAGTACAGAATTATATAACCGTACAAGTTATTCTTTCGACTTTTGATTGTGTAGTAAATCTGTCTTACATCTTGGCGAGGAAGAAACACTAACATTTAAATGGTCAGAAGATTGACTGGACTCAAAATTGTGAACTAGAATGTTAAACCATAGTGAAAAGGCATATAACTATTTATTATTTTAGATTGAATGAACACTGATTCTACTAATCGTACATTGTAAAACTGACTTGTAAGGTCTTCTATGACGTTTGAGTGCATCATACTTATGATAGACCTTTTTATACGAATCGTAGCTACAAGGTAAATTGTGACCAAAGACGGTCTCTTAAGACCTACTATGAAACTGCAAAGACTGCGGTATACGATACAATTATTGTAAAAGCTGAATCAGTTGTGATTTTCGTGATCTGTCCTCGTTCGCGTGAAATCCCGACGGTAAGATGCAGTCCACGGACACATACCTTATCGATTATTAGTGCGAAGATATAGGTAAAACAGTGAAAAAACTTCACAAACAAATTTTTAAAACCAGTACCGATAACACAGAGAGCTATTTTTGCGACGCAGAAGGCGTACAACAAAGGATCACAGATAGTGTTCCATATTTCAGAGGAAATGGTTTTAACGTGACTTATTCCGTATGTCAATATGCAACCAAATAAATAAAAACACAGTGAAAGATATTTGCTTAAAAGGAAATTAGATACACCGTTGCTGCATCTATGTTACCACACATACCCAAGACTGATGCTAATTTTTGGATATGCTTTGATAATTCAGACAGCATAAGACTACAATTTAATTTTCACCCAGTTTGTTTGGATATGATAATTTAACAACTCATAAGCTGGAAAAAATAATATCCATTCACAGTAAAAACAAGTTATTTTCTAATCATTTAATTCCCAGCAGCTTTGAAAACAATTACACTTAATAATAAGACTAAAGACTAACAGGTTCTGCATAACTGATTAAATACTCATGAAGTAATTTCGTTTATAGGAAGTTTATTCAGATGAGACCAAAAACGAGGCACAAAATACTTGCACTACGATTTTTTGCTAGTCAGTACTAAAATACCAAAACTTAAAGGCAACTTGCATAGAGACACAACCAGGCTGAAACATATGGCACATACAACATCCACTTACATTTGTTTTATTGCTGTTTGAATCACATTTTAATACTTCTTTATTCGGAGAACTCTCGGAAGCGTTTCTAGTTTTAGGAAAGATGGTATTCGCAGAGACAAATTTCGGGCGAATTTGTTTTCTAGAATGTTTAAACTGAATGGTTGACCGTGGCTTCGCTAAACCCAATTTCGCACTGCTAGGTCCTGATATACTTGGTTGTTTTACCAATTGGAAACGTAAAGTCATGAGGTGATTGCAAGGACTGGAATCCGAATTTGTTTGTTGTTGATCTCTAAGAGAAACATACATGGCTTTGCGTAATTCCTGTTCTTCTTTCCAAGAAATCCCTAAAACATTGTCCTAAAAATTAAAAAAGTTAAATGAAACTCATAAAGAGTCGTGATTTCGAATATCGATTTGGAGTCATTAGATTTCTAAAATGTAGTCCTTCTCAAAATGCACACTCTGATAGAACAGCAAAACGCCGAGAATATCACATTCAAGCGAAATTCTGAAGTTCGTTATCAATTTACGAACTTCAAGACGTTCCAAAGGATACTATCTGCAATCAAGATAGACTCTGTTCAGGACGTAGATATAATTTACGATTCATGAGTAACATTATTTTTACGGCAGAATTATCCATGATTTATTCTTTTAGCCATATCTGACAACTTTTCGAGCCACTGAGTCGGATCATAAACAGGTCCACATTTAGCTAGGTGCAATCAACCGGCAATTGTTTACCCGCCATAAACTAACCAGCTTTCCTTCATTTTTGTATTGGTTGCTTGAATCTTTCCATTGATGTTTAGGACTGTAATCGATCACATTATTATTGGCATATGTGCATCCTGTGCGGATTGCATCGATATTGCCTTCAGCCACAAGTCTTATAAGCTGAGATAGTAGTGGTCAGCTGACGAGTCCCAAGTAGGATGAAACGCCTGTCCTGAATTTCACTGCTAGCCACCATCATCTCAGCGTATAACTAACTTTCCGCTTCCACCTAACACCGATTTTGCCAGATAATGCTATATAAGGAAATCTCTGAGACCACTTGAGTAAAATGAACCCAATCTAAAGAAGTAATTATCTTCAAATAACACTTATGAAATCGGTGTATCGACTATTCTCAACCACATAATGTTAAGCTGAAGGCTTTCTCAAAGTATTAGTACCAGACGAGACCACTTTCTGCAGACAAAGGGAGCTGAAAAGAGAGTTATGGCACCTTCGAAACTCAAATAGATAGGATTTCACATGGACAGAGTATAGGTCATAACACTGCAAAATAATACGCTTCAAATTTTTTGGCCGAACCAGGTCACAAACAGTGTAAAATAATTAGTTGGTAAGCCAGTCATAATCAACGTAGAGCCTGGTACAGATGTGCGTTGGTCCAGGTTGTCACATTACATTAGTACAACGATGTGAAAACAACAAGATGAACAGTAAAATAGATCGAAGTAATGTAGCAGTGATAATGAGAAAGATTGAATGTTGGGAATGTAGTTCGAAAAGACAAAGTGGAAAGGTATGTATGGAAGAACACTGAGGTTGAAGATCGGAAGATAGAAATTGGATGTACCTGCACCACTATAAACGACTCTGAATCGTATCAACCAGTCGCCAATCACTGATCGTGGTTGATAAGTGAATTCAAACCAAGTAGCTTGCATCAACTAACATGGCTCAGACCAAAAGTCGACGACTTCATATACTAATCCTACTTCCTGGTTCAGCCTCTTCAAGCTTCCTTTCAATCTACTTCTATATCACCGAAAGTGCCTGTTTAGCAGGGCGATGTTTAGATATATGTAACGTGTTTAGGCCACCTTGATAATTAAGGATTTACAACCCCAGCAACCGACTTGTCACCATTGTTTTACCTTCAACATGGATCAGTCGGTAGTTTCATGAAAACCAAACAATATTTCGAAGACACTTATAATCAAAAACCTGCATCCTATACATGCTTGCTACTTATGTTCATGTTCCACAGTGATAATTTAGTACACAGAGGACTGCTGAGCAATACTCTCGTTTCTTGGTTTGCAGACAAACGTTTTGCCTACATCACAAGTGACGAAAGTTGACAAAGCCCAGTCAAGCTTTCTGAATTTGTTCCGAGATCTTTTCAGATCCCAACCCACATAAACTGATGGGACTTTAAAAATAAGTGACGTGGTCAATGCACTTAACTACTTTAGGAGTCAATGCAGAACACTTCAACAACAGGATTTCGCGTTTTGAGGAGGAAAATGTACTCTGATCATGTTTGTAATATTGCTTAGTGCGATCAAAAGACTCGGAAACTTTCAAGAACTATTACTTTCTCCTGTAGATTTGTAGTTTATCACTCACGAACTAAACAAATGAATATTCCAAGCAACATTTCAACTAACATACAACCAACTAACAGCATGTCTACATATCCTGAATACGTCATCATTTCTAGATCTCGATAATATATAGATTAAAGTGTGGTCCGTGCAGGACTGAGTTGGAGTACGCTGATTGTGCATTTCTTACCCAGTCAGCTCTGGCGGATACTTGCAGAAGACTCTAGAATCTTGTGTAAAAATTGTAAATATACTAACGTTCTTCTTATTGTGGTTCGTACCCCCACTCGACCTCGTCTATTTGGAATATAATTACGTCCCTGTTCAACCGTGTTCTGATTTGGAAACTTGTCAAGTGAAGTAAAGTGTCTACAGAATGCTAAGTAATAAGAGTAGATGGGTTGTTATAAGAGAGAACATAACACTCGTTAATACTAAAAAATTGTTTCATAATTCTAAGAAAGTCATTATTTTGTTGAGAAAATCATACAAACCGTGATGAACGATTCTGGAATTAGGTTAACTGGCCACTCATGTAGTTTAGTTAATAGGATACATAAGACAAGCTCATTTATCGCTAAACTGAAGGATATGTATTTCTGGATGATATGAAAACATCAAGCAAATGAATTAATAGATGGAAAGTGAGTGGAAAAGGATTTTCTAGACGGAATATATGGCAATATCTTATTCAGGGTTAATCGTAGTGCGTGGGTGTCTGCAACACGAACCGACTTGCGCGATCGATGGGGATCGGATAAATCCACCAATCTGCCGCAAAAAAATGGATTAGAATGTTTTAACTCGTGTTGGACACGTGAGAGCATTTATGCTTATACGTATGCTTGGAATTCATAAATTGATTTAATCTGTGTACTTCGGTTGTGCGTGTAACGCATACTTGAACTAACAACAGTAATAATCAAAGAGACGTCCTCTATGCTTACATATGCCATGGAATGACCAGGTCTTGTACCTATACATTTCTGGTGTATGTGCAATGTGTATTTGGCGAATCAAACATCCTGGCATTTAGTTACCAAATAAAGTATTTATGCATATCTGCATACTATGAAACACAATAGTATCAAACTTGTATGCTTCTAGCGTGCATGTCATGAATATTTGCCAAGTAAGTGTGGGTCCAATTTCGCCTTCTCAACAGTCACAAATCTAACACTGGGTGTTGGTGTTGTGATGGTTATACCCGTGAAACATGTATCTTAGCACGGACATGTGTGCCTGTATGAGTTGAAGCAAAGGTTCAGACAGGCCAATAGGCTTCTCCAAGAAGACTTGACCAACCTGAATGAGTGGAATGGGCATCAAACGGAATAAGTCACCAAGACAACGTATGCCCGAAATGTCTAGAACAACGTAACTCATGGTAAGGACAAACTTGTTAGCAAATTATCATTGCATGTAACTGTTAATCAGAATACTCATAGATACATTTAGCTGAGTTGATCACATTGTTATAAACTTACGTCACTGGTTTTTGATAATGCCCTTTTAGGTCGATGAGATCGTTGTTCGAACTGTTGCTCATTACGAGTCATCTGAAATGATGAAAAATGAAGATAATAAAAAATAAAACTGTTGTAGACTCCTGGCAACATGTCCATTATTATATACCACCGAATTCTCAATTTTTCCTTTACATAAGATTAACAATCATTACTATGACCAGAAAATTCCAAACCATCTTCTTACATAATTTAAAATACAAAAGATAACTACAGTACGGAAGGTCAACATAATATGTCGGGACTTGTCTGGTCTTATTACATAATGGAGTATCTCAAATTAACACGGTTTAAAAACGTCATTATCCTTTAATTTGTAGCTAACTAGTAGATATGTTCGGTCTTAAACAATACTGATTTGGTGAGGGTTGATCATAATATCCTGCCTCTCAGATTGGAGTGCAGTCAAGTATAAACCAATAATCCTGAGAGTATTGTAATACTTAGTAGGTAGGGTTATCCACTATAATCTCATTGGATCTTACATAACTTTTATTAGTCTCTTTATCGTTAACTGTTACATTTAAGAGTTATTTTCTGAAACATAATGTTTCATAGCAGTTTGACAATTGTAGGCAGTAAAATTACACCTTAACGTGGCTTCCGTAAGGTTGGACACAGTAGAAATGAAAATATTAGCAACCTATTGGGAATAAACTATTATGTATAATGCTTTACTATGGTAAATTGATGCCATATTTCCAATCAAACGGTGCGAGTTAGAGAACAGCATGTAAATCTGTATATAATAAATGAACTAGATTGTAAAATACTATTATTACGTTCCCTTAAAATAAATAGAAATATGTTCCATTTGTGGATATTTGGATTGGAAAATCTAAGCTTCAAAATCGCCTTCATCATTCTTAGTACAAGCATTCAACATAAATTTCAACCACACATGGAAAATACAACACAAATTCTTATTAAAATGTTGTATTCTGGTATTACAAAATATACATGTTAAAATATTATTACCCATGGGTAACGCAAAACAGAGCAAATATTTTGGAAATAATTGGATCCATAACTGCTACTGAGAAATAGTATATAATCAGAGTGGAATTAAAGATACTACATTATTCCAGATATCTCCAGACTCATCAAACCAAAGAATTTTGAAGTTCATGAAAGGAGATAATTTTAATACATCATTAGATATTTGGATATTAGTCGATTTGACTAGTAGAATTAAATGTTACCAGGTCCTTCAATTTGTCCTGATCATTTACGTCAAGTTGATCCCACCCTTTAAACCATGGACGAAAATCAACGTATGCTAACATAGTTGGTACAGATGGCCCACTGTGGTCCAAACTCTGAAAAACCCGGAAGTTTGAAAGTGAATGGGAATACTTCAACACGTTTTGCATTGTGTTGGTTATAAACTATAGAAAATATGGTAAAACTGAGCAGTATATCAAAATTTATGGAGTGTCTAGCATACAATGATATGAAAATAAATAGTTACTTATTATTGGGCAAAGGCTGTTTGGTCTCATGAGCGTCAATCTAGAAATGAACGCAAAAATAAGGAAAATAAAATCATTCTAACCCTTAAACTTGGCAGTAAGTTATGGGAGGTGAACTAATAATGTAATCTACTTATGCTTAGACTCCATTAATAGGAAACAACATCAGAAACAGATCCCTACTGTGAAAAAATTTGTCGGAGCAAAAGTGCAATTATAAATTTCGAACTTAACATGCAGAGACATGATAGATCTTATTCTGGAACATTATTCTAACATAGTTGGATATTCTTACACAGTTTAGACGAGAATTTCAAATAGCTTCTTACAAGACAAGGGGTTTAAAAAGGAACAATGGCAATAAAGTCTGTACTAAGGGATATAGCTGATCACTAAGTAAAGTGGAAGCGTGTTTCTGAAAATCCTGAAACCTAACAACGGAATTAAAACTCCAATTCTAGCGTATCTGTATTATTTCTGAAAAATTGTGAAACATATAACTTTCGCACTCTCGAAATTACTATTCATTGCTAATTAAGCTCACAATCAGATCCAGTCTTGGAAATTTTTTATTGCAGATAGGCTCCAATAATCATCAATATTTACTACAGACATACTGAATGGAAGTGTGCAATCATCCTAAAGTTTGGAAAAAGAAGTTTTTAGGTAAGCAAATCTCTTTAGTAGCTAATTAGCTCGTGTATTTAAAAGCTGTCTAGTTGGATATTATAGATGAATCAATGAGATCTTTTATCTGAGGCAACCTTAGTATGTAAATGTGCGTAAACACCGCTCTGTCAAGTTGCGGTGCAAATGGGATAATATAGCATAGCGGTAAGTCAGTCATAGTCAGCGGAGCCAGAAAATAATTCACTTTAGCTTACTTTTCTACACTAAATCACACACCGAGACGAAATGAAAAGGATCAAATAAAAAAATCCAAATAATAGTGGTGTTAATCAAAAAGTGAGAGGGTCTGCATATTGGAGAAAATGGTGCAAAAAAAAGATGTATTGGAGGAATAAAACGCATGAAATAGTATTGAGGCTCAAGGCTTGGAGTAAGAAAAGTGTGAATAGATCTGCGATCATGTAAGTGACTCGATTAACGTCTCCAACCACTGATCATGATTATAACCCGGACCCTAAAATGGTCGTATTGTAAGCTATTATGATACTGATATGTAGTGTACGAATTTCTAGTGTCAGACAAAATTAAATAATGATAGTCCCACCTTGAAGATTCAGTTATGTCTCAAACGTGGAGAAACCTTAGACAGGAAGTTACTTAGTTACATTATTTACACTCGTTTAGACGTGGAACTGAGTTTATTATAGGAAGGATGGATACAGTCAATACTACCTTGTGCATGTAAATGTAATTTCTAACAAAACTTGAAGAGCTTAGATAAGTTTAAGCCAGTGATGCTAAAAAATATTCGAGGTGTTATGAACAATCTATAATTCGAAAGTGAAGAATATATTTTAATTTAGTGGTTAATTAGTAGCAGGGTCGTTGAATAACCTGAAAGTTCTAGGTTTGATTTCGTAAAGGTACTAGTTCTTAAATTTTATAGTGGACTTGATGACGACTGTCAGGATTTTTAGCTTGTTTTGATATGCGACCACCACAGAGATTATTCGTCTTGGTAGTTTACATGAGGTAAATTGTTATCCTGTGACCACCGGTCAATATCGCGTGCTCAGTTACCAATTAGGGTCCTGATTCTAAGTTGATCTGCTATCTATTCTACAACTTAGTGTCTCTAACTTATTACACGTCTGACCAGCACTACTGACAGTGAGCCAGGAGTCAGGTTCCTATTGCTCTAGCATTGGCCAGCTCTCCTCTACCACTATCCTCGAATTCGGAAGTAGCAACCCACCTCTACTGCATTAGCATTTTAAACAGACATAATTTATATAGATATACCAGAATGCAACATCATAAGATGGAAAACAACAATTACACATAAACAAGCAGAGAGTGGCTATGATTAGGGGAAACTAAGTAATAGGCTAGCAATAAATTAGGTTGGCAAAGTCGTATAAAAATATTTGATGGGTTTAACGAAAAGAAATCATATGTAGTAATCTAGCTACCCAGTAATTATGTAAAACTATGAATAACGATAATTTGAAAGGACAATTTCGACCTCTACAATATTCATTCCGTTATAACATAAAAAAGTTATTAAATAAAACTTCTGAATAGAATTCATCTCAACTCACTGAAGTCTTCCTATCCGGTAGGCAAGTTGAAACCGACAGTTCACTCCTTACATCGCTCTCACTAATTATATGACTGTTTTTGCCAGACATTATTTATCTAAACATAGATTAGAAACATTAGGATACAGAGGAAAAGTAACTGAACGTGTTGTGAGACAGGAAATGTAATAGCTGCACTGTAGTAAAGCATTTAATTGACTATTACATCAGTATAAGGAACTGAAACCCTAAGTACGTTTGGGCGACCAAATATGGAGATACATAAAAAAATGTTGCAAAAATGCCACATAGCTAGGCAACTTTGTTTATTCCTTTAATTGATAGCTTAACTAAAATGTTTGTAAAGAGAACAGAGGACTAGAAACCCTATTAGAAGGAAGATCGAAGTTAGGTCCGTATGGACGGACGCTGATAAGGAATACAGGATTTCGTTATTGGTAAAGTTTTTTACTAGTATTATACTTAAACATGCTATAGGTTATTGACTGAAACAAAGCTGCTAATGAGAAATATCTACTAACCTGTCTGTATACTCAAATCATATTACCACCATAGGCAAATGCTGACATATTTTATGGTCGATGATTTTACATATCTTAGTATCCGTGGTGTTTAACAATAAAATTTTTAAAAGATACGAGTGTGAATATGTCATCAATCAGTTTTAGGTAACTTTTAAGTAGCTTAAGTGAATTGTTTAGAGGCATTTCTCACAAACTAATGTCTACTACTAATAAGTTATGATTTTTTAGTACGTTCTTATATCAACGCATTATCACTTTCTACTTTTTAGTTCTAAATGAAATACAATAAGATAAATACTTTGTACCTGATCAATAAATTAAGTCACAAGACATTGTGTTACACTATATTTGATATTGGCCAACTGAAATCTAACGTTAGGGAAGCATTAGATTTATATGCAGTTGCCGATTACTTGTTAATTGGCCATATCTATCTTTTAGAAGAAATCTCCACTTTCTGAGAAATTTTTAATCGAATATTGCAATCGTAAAATCACAACTTCGTGCCAAACAAGTTAATCAAAAACCTTTCTGAACAAGTAAAAATTATTACGATAGGAAAATTTAGATGTTGTTGAAGCTGACAATCACTAGTCGCCAAAACTACCAACTTAAAAAAGTACAGAATGGTGAATATTCTGATACGTTGAACAAGCTCATTCTAATTATATCTTACAGATATGATTATTATTAAATTAGCTTAGTCATATCAAAGTGAAAATGGTTTAAGAACTTCATTCAGAGTCATTTTACCCCTAATATTATACACTTTCGTTTGACGAAGTTTCCATGTTTTAATTAAATAGC